ATTATTATTATATATATATATATATATATATATATATATATATATATATAAGTTCAAAATAATTGAAAAAAATTAGGAAAAGATTATTAGATGCCTAAAATTCTGCCTACCTAATTTTGTTATTTATTATATTCTGTCATTTGAGCGTATTTTTGGTTTATTGAATTTATTTTATTAGAAAGTTCTCTTTCTTTCGACCTTCTTTTGATTTTCTCCGTAGGAAACGTTTATGATAAAAACAAAAAAAAAGCGACATGTTATAAATTTTTTGTGAGCAGGAAAACCTGTATCCGCATATAAACATATCTTTTTATCATCAATTTAACGGTGTTATTGTAATCAGCATGCACTTAAGTAATCAGTTTCTTGTATTGAACGGCAGTTTCAATTATTGTTAAGCCGTTATTCATTAACTTATTCTTTTATTTAGAATTATATACAAAGTTTAAATGTTATAGATCAATAACTAGTCAATATTAGTATCTTAAGACATTAATTAAGACAATTTTGAAATAAAAATAGACTATAAATATCGGCCTTAAACTTAAATGATTTGATTTTTCTTGAAGAAATGAAACGGTGTTCTCTTTTTTATCTTGATTTTTTGTTAAACAGATAAATTTACAATACGCAGAACTTAAAACCAATTATTCTTAAGACGTAAACCAAATTAATAGCGCTAACAAATTAACCGGCAATTGTCAACCTCTATCACGAGCGCGTTTCATATTGTGATTATGAAGTCTGTCTTTTTTTTGTTTTTTTGCGATATTTAATCTTCGTGATTCTAAGAGTAGTTACGATCGAAATCCAATTAATTTAATCTGAGATTAATATATTATTTTGTAACATTCCATTATTTTGTTAACATGGACAAATTATTAATTTTTGTTCATTATATAAAAAAGATTAAATTTAAAATAATAATTTATACAATTAGAAATTTTACAATAAACAATTCTACCAATAAATAAATTAAGCTAATCAGAGTTTGATTAAAATTGTCTTTTGTATAATTTCAACTAAACTGCAAAATTTAAATAGTAATGAACTTATCAAGTAACATTTATATTATTTGGTTGATGTAAAATTATTATCTGTTATTTAACAAAAAAAAAAGGATTAAAAGTGATAAATCCTGATGAAAATATTCTATCATTAAATATAATAAGATATAATTATATTATTAATATATAATTATATATAAAGCGTTATATATATATATATAAAATATGTCCATACATAAAAATATAATTAATAAAGTAGTGATATAGTTATATGTAATTATATATAAATATATATATATTTATTTATTAATATATAATTATATATAATCATGTATATAATATGTATTATATATTTTTATATATGAATATATTTTATATATAATTATATATGGAAAATTTTTTAATTTTTTCGAGTATATTTAGAAGTTTTGTAATAAGTAATTCAATTAAATACCGATTAATCCGCATCCGTCTTCACCCGCCATCTTGCGGCTAAACGAGCACTTTCGGATATGATCTCGTCATAGTTTGCCGTGATTTCCAAAACATTTCGTGACGCCGCTTTCCTGAAATATTGTCTTTTTTACAAACAAGTTTTGTTCTTTTATCGAGAGAAGACCAAAATTTTTCGTTTCCGATTGCTTCTCAACGAGAAAATAGAAATCATCTTTTCGCAGCAAAGATCATGAAGATTTGAAATACAGCTTTTTACCGATAAAGAACTAACGTTCATAATTACTTATTTAGCATTGTTGCGATTTCTTCTTCGATAGATAGCCATTTTTTGATCAAATCAAAATGGAAAATTAGCTTAAAAATATCTCAGCGGACGCGTGCTTTGTTGCGATCCCAAGCGACCTGAAGTGCGCCGAGCATGCGCGCGTGATGTTTACAGATGGCAGCAGCAGTGCATGAGATTTAAATCGGTGTGTCAAAGTCACCCGTTACTGTCAATAGTACCAGCCGGCATTATTCGGGCATTATCGTCAGCGGAGCAAAGGATGGAGAAGTCATTCACATCACTCTCAAATTATTTTAACAGATTGCGATATAAAGCGCGCGAGATCGACGAGGGCATCGAAAGGCTCGCCGAGACATGGAAATCGCATCTTCTCATCGGTGGCTACGCGGAGCGGACGGCCGAAACAGATGCTCACTTAGAGAAATTGTGGGAATCGATTCGCAGTACCGACGTAAGTATCATCCGAAACCACGTTTCGAGATGCCAAGAGTCTCTCTTCGCGCGAAATACAAATCATAATCATAAACAAGTACAGTAAATTGCTCAAGTGTAATTTTTTTTATTTTGCGTGAAGGTGATAATTAAACAATTGTCATGTTATTTTTATAACTTTATCTAAATGCGTTATAAATATAAATTATCATCTTTGTCGTATGTTATTATTGTTATGATGAGTAATTAGAAGTAATGTATTTTTTGAACTATGAAATTTTAGAGTAAGTATTTTTTATTATAGAATGTGCGATTAATTATTATAGAACGCGATAGAGAAATTTCAATCCGAATTGGAACCGTCATTGGAAGAGACGGATCAGTTACTGGAAGAGTCACAAGCGCTCTATGAAGATATCAAAGAAAAGTGTGACAATTTAGACATTGTTCTGGCGGAATATGGTTATCATTATGAAGAGAATAACATTGGAGAAGAGAATCATTCTCAGTACTATATCATTATTTATGCGATTTAAGAATTAATATAATAAATTTCAAATCTCTGATGAAATATTCTTTCTGTACATTTGCAATTCTATAAAATATTAAATAATAGAGACAGAAGTATAATGCTTATCTTTCTTTCAGAAATGATAGTAAAGATTGTACAATACACGGTGAAGTAGAAGTCGAATTTACGCCGGATTTAACATGGAAATGCAAAACTAAATCCAGAGACTCAAGCAGTTCTAATACAAACCAAAAAAATTCAACCATTAAGGGTATCGCAACACCTGTAATCAAAAGTTTACAATCAGTTTTACAGTCAGAGGCATTTTATACAAAAGAATCATTTAGCGATGCGTCTATACAAGAATCAGATCATTCGAAACAAATAACGAAAATATAATTGTGAGATAATTGTATGTTCTCTCTGACTTTTCATTCTTTAAAGTAAAAAGGAAAAGTGCATAATGCATTAGTGCCTTATATAATAGAAATGTAAATTTATATTAATTCTTAAAGAAATGCATGTATATTTATACTTTATTGGTATATGAATAATCTGAGTTACCTTATCCTAGGTTTTACTCTACAATTTTATGGTTATCATAACATAAATAAAACATCAAATAAAAATGTAAGAAAAGGATTAAATTTTATTGATTTTTATATAAATTTTTAAAGAATTCTCTAAGAAATTTTAAGTATTGAAGAAAACTGAAGAATAAGACTAACGTCCATTTCTACTAATGTGGATTGATTTTAAAATTTTTGATTTAATTTATTTTTATTCTTTTCTACTTTTAAGAATTAAAGAGTAAACATTGAAATTAAAATTAATAAACATTGATAGGAGTGGACATAACGTTTTTGCTAATTTTTTGAACGTGTTAATTAATTATAACATAGACAATTCTTAAAGATTTGAAACTTTATTATTTGACAGCTAACAAGCGTTATTGAAAGATTTATCGATATGACAAATGGGATATTAATTGGGATATTAATAACATTTCTGACTGCAGTAGATTTTGATTATTTTAAGAGTGATTAATAGCATCATTCGATGTTTTAAGTTACTAGCATTATGATCAAACTGATTATAATCATATTTAAATGGTTAGGTGTTAATATTTCAGAAAGATATATCCAAGACATAATTATACAAAAATTGTTTCACAGTAAATTATTATATATAATTTATTATCATTTCTTCTTTTTTTACACATTTTTAATTAAATCTGAATTTGACATAGATCTATTTTAATCGATTTTGTTTAAATCCATTGAAGCCGAAAATATAAATAATTCATATTGTATACAAATAATCTGACACAGAAGTAATCTAACCTGTCCTAATCTAACATAGGGTCTGTTCTTTTTAGCTAAATTGACTGCATTAATTCAGAATTTATCATTCTTCTTCCAGTGTAAGAAAGAAAGATAAAAAAGAAAAGAGATTTTTAAATCTTGTACTAAAAAAATTTCATGCTATACATGGAAAAGAAGAAGCTCAGAAAAAGTGTGTAGAGTTAACAAACGAATTGAATTTTTTTCAAGGAGCTTCAAAAACGGTTGAACAATGGCAAGTGGTATGAACAATTGCATATATATATATATATATATATATATATATATATATATGAAACAGTTCGGAAGTAATGCGTTATTAGTAATGCGGTTACTTTTTGTTACTTTTTTTTCAATCGTCTTTGTATCTTTAATCTCCACAAGTTACTTTTAAAAAAAGTAACTTACCCAACTCTGATATAAATATAAACTTTTACAAGTTCTGTGTAATAACATGTGGGTTTATTTATATATTAAGGTTTGGAGGGACTTAAAAAGTCGCACTTCTATAAAAGTGTGATGAGATCGAAAAAAAATTTTGTATTAAAAATTTGAATCTATTTATTTATTCGTCTCATTAAGCATATATATCACACTTTTTATTTATTATAAAAAATTAAAAATAGACTCGTAAAATCCCATACGATGTGATAATCAAAATTAAACAATTCCAAAAAAAGTTAAAATTAATTAGAATGTTAAATTAAAAATATTAATTATAAGTTGTTAACAAGTTCTTATATTTTTCGGCAAAAAATGTGGAACTAATTTTCTTTGTATCGTTCCAATTAGTATATGTACTGCCGCATGTATGAGAAGGATGTTCTTTATAATGATGTTCTTTATTGTATATATAATTATAGTGCAAACTAGATATAAAGGCGCATTCGAGAAAATCTCATTGGATTTCAACAGAACTCCGAGTGGCCGTCTAGTAAACGATAAGTGAACTGTTTTACTTCATCATTATTAACATTTTGTAAGCATTTATAACACGTTCGTATCAAGCTAAACGTTGAAGCTCAAAATTATTAATTAAAAATTAAATATTAAAATTAAAATATAAATATAAAAATTAAAAATTAAATATTCAATCGCATTATAAATTATAAATCGCAATTTATATCAAGATTTATAGAAAGTAAAGATTTATAGCAGAATTCATCGTATTCATCATATTAAGTAAGCTAAATTGTTTATATTGTTTGCAAGAAATCGCTCTTTTATATTTAATAGTTAACAGTCTAATGATTATTTTTATCAATGTTAACACAGGTTAACTTTAATTTACTTTTTATTGTTTTTCAATTTTTAAAATTAGAAAAAGATACAAAGTAAATTAAACCAAAATTATATTACATAAATCTTGCTAAGAATAAACATTAATCAAAATATTAGCTTATTATTATTATGTAGAAAGTAGTAGTGATAATGACACGATATTTAATAATGATGACAAAGATGAAGAAGATGAAATAAACAAATAGAACAAGATGAAGAAGAAACAAGTGAAGAAGATAATCAATTGTTTTCTATGGTAAAACGATCAAAGAAAAATTTTAAGAAAGCAAAGCAAAACTTTATGGAAGATGACATAGAAAATGATAGTAAAGAAATGATGAATTTAGTGATGAGGAAGAATCTGCTGAAGACGAGCAATTAGAGGAAGAAGAAGAAGAAAAGGAAAAAATGATAAAAGTGACGATGATGATTTATTTCCTATAGAAAAGGCTAACAAGGAACTGAAAGAAAAGGAAAAGTAAGTTAATTTTTAATTATTATTTATAAAACTAACTTTTCTTTCAATTAATAATTAATAATTTTCTTTGTTTTTTTACCAAATAGAAAATTAGCAGAAGAAGAAATGGATGATACAATAGCGAATCAAAGTGTATTTTCTTTTCCAACTGAGGAAGAACTTGCCAATGTTACTAATTTAAAAGACGTTCAGCAACGAATACGAGACGTTATTATGGTGTTATCAGATTTTAAAAGATTACGGGAGAAAAATAGGCCACGTTCTGAATACATCAAATTACTTCAACAAGATCTCTGTACATATTACAGTTACAACAATTTCTTAATGGAAAAACTCATGCAAATATTCCCAGTGGATGAGTTTCCAGAATTTCTGGAAGCGAGTGCGAGGTACAAAGACCTATGACGATTCGCACGAATACTCTGAGAACGCGACGACGTGATCTAGCTGAGGTACAGATTCATACAAACTAAATTAATATTATTTTTATGTCTAAGGCAATTTATTATAATTGTAATTCATATTGAATATGTTTTCAGGCTCTTATTAATAGAGGCGTTAATCTTGATTCAATAGGAAAATGAAGTGGTAGTTTTTGGTGGTATATTCTGCACAAGTGCCTGTGGGTGCAACACCAAAATATCTAGCGGGACATTATATTATACCAGGTGCTTCTAGTTTATTGCCCGTAATGGTATTGGATCTCAAAGAAAGAATTCTTGATATGTGTGCCGCACCAGGCGGTAAAGCTTCACACATTGCTGCTATTATGAAAAATTCTGGAACACTGTTCGCTAATGATATAAATAAAGAACGATTAAAAGCTGTTGTTGGCAATTTTCACAAACTTCGTATTGTCAATTCTATAATCTGCAGCTACGATGGATGAAAATTCCCTATGGTAAAAAAATTTTATTTTTATTAGTATTTTTATAATTCGTACTAAATATATTTTTGGAATTAAAAAAATATAATAACTATAATATAAATATAATAATATATATAATAAATTAATAAATTATATATTAATAAATATATATATATATATATATATATATATATAATAAATAACAATTGCCAGATTCCAGATAAAAGGCTTCGACAGAGACATTTTTATTGGATGCTCCATGTACAGGTACAGGAATAGTTGCGAAAGATTTTAATGTAAAGATGAACAAGGAAGAGGTAGATGTCCAACGATATTGTATATTACAGAGAGAATTATTGTTAGCTGCAATTGGTTGTGTTAACGCGCGATTCGAAACGGGTGGTATTATTGTTTATTCGACTTGCTCTATTCTATCAGAAGAGAATAAATGGATTATCGATTACGCTCTTAAAAAACGCGACATTAAATTACTGCCTACTGGTCTAAAGTTTGGAACTATTGATAGTTTCGAATTAAAATAAAAAATTTTCCAACAATATTCAGAAAGATGAAACGAAAGAAGATTCTGATTAAAATTCGTTTTTTACAGATTTTTACAATAATTTGGCTTGTAATCAAATTTACAAAAATGCTATTATTATTACATAAAACTATTATTATCCTAACATTGTGTTTTATTTATATGTACAAATATCTAAATTTTTCAATATTAATGAGTAATATAAAATATATAATAGAGAAAGAATTCACATTTTATATCACATAACATGTATAAATTACACAACTTCCTGTAGTTATTTTACAGAATGTATATTGCCTGTTGATAATTAACGAGAGAGTTTACATTATAAAAGATTTTGAAAATTAAGAAAATAATGTTTATGACTTATTTTCTGTTTTTTCTACATAATTATCAGTGAAAAAAGATACTTTTTAATTGTTTTTCACAAAACCTCTTCACTTCATCTATAACAAAGAGAGATTATTTATTATATAATTATCACAATCCAGTATCATGAATATATTACTCACCATCAATTTTTATAATACTTGCACTTTTTTGTTGTATAACAAAAAATTCTTTTAAATTAGACAATTTTCCAACAACCCAATAATCGCTTATGGTCTTTATGCTTATTTCTCCAGCTTCTTTCAGTCTAAAAATCAAATTGATTAACACATAATTCTCATTAGCGCACATGTTTTGTGAATTTTAGAATTTTGAAATGTACATACCTGTTTTTATCATTATATATATCCGTGATAATCCTCAGGTATTGTAAGTACGTTAGAGCAACGTCTATTATCTAAATATATTGTACTTTTATATGCTAAATTTAACTTGTTAAAATATAGATACTTAGTACATGATTCTGGTGTGATTATTATATGTTTAAAGCACTGTCAGCTACAGAGCTAACTAATGTAGTTAATTGTGGGCCTAGAAAACTGTCTAAGCTTTTGAAAAAATCAATTAATAGACTAGTTTTCTCTGTAAAATAAAATATGAATATTTTATTATTATTTTATTTCCACATGATATAACTGTAATTGTTTATGTTTTACTTACTATCGACGAAAAGGCATATTGTAGCACTTAGTGCTCGATACACTACTAGATACAATGACACAGGTTCGAAGGTAGAATAATTAATAAAAATTTTCAATGATTTTCCAATTAAACTAGGCTCATTAATGCTAGCAGGCCCAGTAACAAATCTAAACAAAAATGTTTTTAATGGCATTCTCTTCGCAATTTACATTTACATTGCAATGTGATGTGAATATATCGTTTCTTACTTTCCATAGTGCGAAGTGAACGGTGAGGGGGAATTTCTAGGTATTGAGCCTCCATGCAACTCTTTTTCAAGATGAGCTAGCAAAAGAGTGCTCACTAAATAATAAACTACTTGCATGTCCTCAGGTTCTAAGCCGCTCCTAAATCATACATCATATAAATCTTATGCAAAAGTTAATTCATTTATCGCAGTAGAGAAATAATGAATACATAATTTATCAAACAACTTGATCATTATAGAGAAATGCTGTATATTTTACTTGTGTAAACATAGCTTCTACTAGATTCATAAAGCATTGCACTTTAAGAAATGTAATCTTATCAAGAGACAAAAATTGTAGACCTTGAAAAATATCTAGGATGTCACTATTGTTCAGTTTCAATGAAAGCAGGTACTGAAACAGATCATAGATAGAATATTAAATATCAAGCCATATTTAAGTTACACTTTATAAACAAATGCGCATTCATGATTCTTATCCGTGGATAAAAATGTTCCAGTTTGAATTTCAACAACATTACAGATTCGGGATCATTAATGATTGTTTCAAAAGAACTCATGAATAATCTAAACATCATATATGTCTGTTTTAATAAGCTGTTTAATAGCTTGGCAAACTCCACTGGATATTTCATCATTCTGATATTTATTACCATCCTTTTCCTTATAGATATATGGTATTCCAACAATCTGTAAAGTATCATATAAATTTAGTTTTTAATATTACATAAATATAATTAATAATTTAAAAGAATAATTTTATATTATTTCATCATTTTTAAATACTTACCATTACCACCCAGAAATTTGGTTCTAATTGATAGTATATCCGTCTTATCTTGTGTGTATAACAATAATCACATGGTTGACCAGGGTTGAAAGATCTGCAATGCAATCTCTTTTGTAGAAATGTTCTCCTTATACTTAATCACAAAATACATACTCTGTAAACTTCATTGACTTATTGTCTCGCTAAGCCCAATATTTTTTATTTGTATATCTAGATCCTTTTTTGGATAGTAATACAATATCTTCTTTTCCTCCTATAAAAAAGAACATGCATTCACATTATAAGAACCTGCAGAAATTATTTAATTAGAGAAAGATGTACTTTTCTGATATATTTTTGTACTCACTTCCTCTTCTTTCTTTGCGTAAATGCTATTAAAAAATATAAAAGTGTTCCAACGTGATTTCAGGCTTAGAACTCATTCTATGAGTTGAGTAATCAATTACGGTTACTGCAATGTGTACGAAAATTATTTTCCGTTCATCGAGATATATCAAATAACATCTCTTGACAAAAGGGATTATCAATCTTGACCACCGTGCCGATTTTGGAGATCCCGCGCGGTAAAAGCGCTAAGTTTTGGATTCAGCTATGGATGCGGATGAAAATTGAATTGATTTTGTTTTTGAAATCTCTTATTTCATATATTTCGAATTTACCTTTATGATCTTCGAATTGTAAATTTTTTATTAAGTTTCCAAAAGAAACTCTCAAAAATCGTGAAACAAGTATATAGGACGAGGGGGCCAGCTCGCTTTGAACCTGCCATCCTTCGATATGAGTCGAGCGTTAAGCACTGAGCCCCGTAAATTAATATCTCGTTAAATATCTCATTAAATATATTTGAACAAAATTTAAATAATTACAGTTTTGAGCGCTTCCTGAATAAAAAGAAATATTTTAGTACATATGGCGTTTGATAAAATAAATCAAAATTTAAGTTTAAGCAGCATTAACCCCTGGCAAATTTATTGAGAAGTTGCAAAACAAACACCTCCTTAGAATAAGCGTTCAGCAGAACTTTCTTAATGTTGGCAGTATATCATAAAGCGCTTACTAAGCTGCTTTTTCTGCTGAACACAGCCATTCATTGCGATGGCATAGGTAACCTTGAAAAAACCACCCTCGAAGCGCTATTACTTTAAGTCCGTCGAAACCGCCGAGATTTGCTGCGCTTGGTCTCCAACCGCGACGATCGCGCAATCAGCATCTCGATGAAGTGTTGAGGTGGGGTATATAGGGTGATTCTTTCATGGCACGAAATATCAGAGAGAGAAAAAAAAAGAAACATCGTTTTGCAACAACATCGGCGTTGTTGTTTCGTCGCCGTTGAAATGTCACGTGATGCTGACACAGTCACGCCGAGGCTGCGTGCATTTATAGGTTATAGTCCAGTCACCGAGGCATCTCCTCCGGAAGATGCCGTTCGTGAAGAACTGAGAACGCCGTCGTTTGAGACGACAGTCAGCGACGCCAAGATGTAGCGTCCGGTCGCGCCTCGGCGCAACGTCAGGATATTGTTGATCGGTGAGCGTGGCGTCGGTAAAACCTCCCTGATATTGTCTCTGGTGAGCGAGGAGTATGCGGAGGAAGTGCCGAGTAAGACCGAGGAAATCACTATACCGGCAGACGTGACGCCAGAGCAGGTGCCGACGCATATAGTCGATTATTAAAGGTACTTTTGATACGCTTCTTCCTTTAGATTTCCGTTAGGTTTCTATAATTTAAATGAGATAATACTACTTGATAATTAAGATATCCGAATGTGATTGAACGATTCATCAGAGAATTTATTTGCATTTTCCAAGATTATCTTATGTAAAAGGAAATAATAACCTGTTCTTTACAGCTGTGGAACAAACGGATGATCAATTGGCAGAGGAGATCCAGAAGGCATACGTGATATGTGTGGTTTATTCAGTGGATGACGAGGATATTCTGGACAGAGCTGCCAGTTACTGACTATCCTTAATCAGAAGATGCTTACCCAACAACCAGTTCGATGTCCAGTTGTACTTATAGGCAATAAGATTGATCTCGTGAATTATTCTACTATAGAGGTTTGTAGACTTTTAAGAAGACTTCAAGTTAAGCAATCCTATTCCTCACAATCCTTCCTGTTAATCTACATTTTGCATTCTGAAATGAATTCTTTCAGGCTGTATATCATGAAAGAATTCACAGAGATTGAAAGTTGCATAGATGTAAGATACAGTTTGCTCAATCAATATGAATAATAATATGAATAATGGAAAGATTTATCTAAAGAAATATAATATATTTCTTTTAAGTGTTCAGTGAAAACACTTCAAAATGTCTCAGAGACGTTTTATTATGCACAAAAAGCAGTTCTGCATCCAACTATCCCTTTATATAATTATGACACACAAGAGGTGAGAAATTTTGCTTTACATTTTATTTTTCTTTAATTTATTCCCTGAGCTTCCTTTCTCATCAAATCATTCTGATTTCAGCTTACAGAAGGAATGCAAAACTGCTTTACAGCGAATTTTTAAAGTATATACTTCATATAAATATATGATATATATACATGAAAAAAATAATTCGTGATATAAACTATATTATTTCTTTTCTGATGCAGATAATGTGTGTGTAGATAATGACGGTCTTTTAAATGATATGGAGCTGAATGCTGAATGCATTTCGGCAGTGGTGCTTCAACACGCCGTTATAACAGCAAGAAACTGGAACATGTGAAAGCTGTACTGTCAAAAAATATTTGCGACGGTATATGTAACGGATGTGTCACGATGAAAGGTGAATATTTCAATTATCTTAAGTATTAAATGTATATGTGAGTTATTAATTATTACTATGTAGGTTTTATGTAGGTTTCATGTATTTACAATATTTATACAACGCGGAAGAAACGAAACAACCTGGGCCGTATTAAGAAAATTTAGATATGATAACGAGTTGTCAAAAGAATATATCATCCTTCATATGTATAAAAGTTACGGAGCCACATTCTTCTAATATGTTACTGAGTAATTTCGGTTTTCAGATTGAAAGTTCCGCTGTAGCACAGAATTGTCGCACAAGGGACAGGAGTTTCTGACTTTATTGTTTATGCAGCGCGATCTCGACGGCGCTCTTAGAAATGGAGTCGTTGTTCTCACGATGCCTTGTTCCACCTTGGGACGATGAGTACAGATATACTGTATCCACGAATGAAAAGGTTGAACGTTCATACTCATTATTTTTAGAATGCCAAATGTATGTAGACTAAACTAAAAGAAAGCGATATATGTATTTTTGAAAAACGGGGAAATATCAAATGGCAATATATGTTTCAAAGTAAGTAACTTTGCTATGATGTATAAATATGTGATTCCTTTAGGCCCACATTTCAAGAGTATATGTGTCAATGGGCTGCTAACACTGACAAATGTGCGTAAAACTACAGAATACATGGCATATCTGGGATATAATATGTGCCACGAGTGTCAAGCGAGCGCTATCATCATGACTCGCGAAAAGAAGGTAGATCTGGCGAAAAAGCAATCTAGCAGAAATGTTTATACCTGTCACGTCATAGGTTCAAAGAGTAGTGGGAAGATCACATTGTGTTGGACTCTCATCGATCCTAAACTCGAGGTAAATTGTTTATTACAATTATTGGATCCTCAACAGAATTATCATATTCATCTCTTCGGATGTAATTCTAGAAATTGAACGATGGTACCATCGAACGCACACGTGACTGTAAATACGTTGCACGTTATACGGACATGGTACCATCGAACGCACACGTGACTGTAAATACGTTGCACGTTATACGGACAGCAGAAGACGATGGTGTTGAAGGATATAAACGTGCTGAATGTCCAGGATGCTTTAATACCGGTGGAAATCTAATGTGATGCGGCTCGTCTATGATGCCAGTAATTCAAAATCGTTCGAGTATATAGCACGCATTTACATCGTAAACAACCTTCTTGCAACCTTTACAGCCTTCTCGCATCTAATATTTATGCATTACATAACGTGTCTTTGTTACAGAAACTTTGCCGATAGTAAAATTCTGATAGTAGCAAATAAAAATGATCTTCCCGAAGTGAAGCAAAACTATCTGTTGCAACCGGCCGCTTTCTGCAGCAAATACAAACTAATGTCACCGCAGCCGTACAGCTCGCGGACTATTCAACGTGAAATTTTCGTCAAGCTGGCTACGACGGCAGCCTTCCCATAAGTTCAACCATCACAGTCTCAGAGTGGTAATAACGAAAACTGCCGGACGAATCTCGGATTTCTTCAGTTTACAGATAGTAGATTATTTTCATTTGTAGCTGACAAACATTTCTATATATCTGAAAGTATAGATTACGCGTCAAGACTCTTAGAGCTTTTTCGCTTTTTTCTTCTCTCATGATAATTTACATCGCGAAGTTACTTTCAGATTTGCATTTCTCATCGCACCTTTTCTTCGTTCTTGTACTTTAATTCGAGGAAAAATAGTAATATATAAGAAAAAAAAAATCGACACGGTGGGCCGCATATAAATCGATATACGGCTCGCTGCTCTCTGTGTGTGTGTGTGTGTGTGTGTGTGTGTGTGTGTGTGTGTGTGTGTGTGTGTGTGTGTGTGTGTGTGTGTGTGTGTGTGTGTGTGTGTGTGTGTGGTACCATACACACTACATATATATTGCATTGTAAAATAGAAAATTTTTAAAATATTATTGTGGAATATATAAGTATTCTTGACATTATGCAGAAATTTAAAAATAAATCAAAAATTGTTTTCATTAAATGTAACCTAGATTGCAGTGGACCACTCTCGCTGTCGGGAAGATCCCGGCCCAAAATTTTACGAATGTTGCGGTCATAACCACGAAGCTTATCACGGGCATCTTCTAATTGGGCTTCCAATTTTTCGGCTCCCCATAAATCTTGACAATCTAATTTCCCCATTAGAAACTCTTTAATCACTCAGTAACACATACAAAACAAATTCTTTCGTTAAAATATCATCACCGAAGAGATCTTATAATCCGCGATTTTGGACATTAGATAGTCCAATATAAGCATAGTATAAACAAAAAGAGTAGTTTTACTTCTCGGTTATCCTGGCTGCGATCCATTCTATGTTACAAATGCTTTAAAGCGTTTGATTGACCAATCGGAACAAAGAATTCTACTGATTAACCAATCAGAAAATATTTCATATTTTTGTCGCATCGAATGAATGCTGTAATTTTAAGCTATTCTTTTATAAATCAATTATAATTGGCCAATTTCTTAAGTTTTACGTCTTAAAGTCTCATTGTAGACGCCGCTTTAGTGTCGGTCCACAATAGGTGATTTAAGTTTTAAGAAGTAAGAAATTGATCAATAATAATCGATTATTCTCCTATTCTTTTATAAATTGATTATAAGTGTCGGTCCACAATAGGTGATTTAAGCTTTAAGACGTAATCGATTTAAGCCTTAAGAAGTAATCGAATATGAAAAGAATAATCGACTATGATTGGTCAATTTCTTACGACTTAAAG